TTTATTATATGAAATAAACCTGCAAGTAGCGATGGGGTTACAGAATTTGAGTGCCTTAACTGCTATACATTGCTAGTTTGAGCTGTGGATACTTGGTAGTTTAGATCATAGTTTGCATACTAAACCATAAAAGCTCATAGTTTAATCTAGAAATATAGTATAATATCATTAACATTCAAACATTTTATTTAGAAAATTGTATTTAAGTTATAATACGGATACCTCTATAATGTGTTTTATTATTAGGAAATCCAAAAAAACTTAGTCTATGGATGTTTGAATTTGTGCTTTTATACGTCTTAACAAAATGTCTTATTTGTATTCGAACGAACAAATTGCATTTTATAGCATAAAAATATAATTTATATGCCATTCATGCACCATTGAAAATTTGAATATTTCGTTTATGTCATGAACCATGGTGTGCGTGCATTTGTCGATGATGTCACATTTTTGGTAAATCGTTTGCTTCGTCATTTAATTTCTTTTGATTCTAGTGGTTTCATGTGGCCATTATTTCCATCTGTTTCGATCGTGTTAATCCCATTACTGAGGTTTATTGGGATATTCATATTAACTTCGTTGTACCACTTATAATATTAATAAAAGAACATTTATAATGTGAAAAAAATAAATACATCTATTAAATATAACTCAAAAGAAAATATTTTGATATTTATGAACTTACAAATATTTATACTAAATAAAATGTATACGACTGTATGGAACGTAGGTTAGTTCATATTTGATAACAACAATCGATAACGATGAGATGACATTGACAAAGGGGTTTGACAATGTTGCCAACTCCATCATATAAACCGCAAAATCTAGATCTCTACGAAATGATAAGAATGTTGTAGGCGGAAATTCAAAATTCCTGATATCTACTTTATCTTACCTTATAATTTAGTAGCCTGGGGTACTCTTCCCAAAATCCCACTGAATTCAACCAGTTGAAATAACATAGTGACCTAAATTCCCTACAAATTATTCAAATGTTGACACTAACATAAGAATTGAATTTATATATTTTATGAAAAATATTTATTTCCAAATTAAAATATTATTGTATGATTAATTGTTGGTTTAATTATTATTATACAATTCAAAAAAACCTTCCAAATTTAAATTTTCGAAAAAAAAAACCCGCCATTACCAGAAGAATACCACCGAGATTGAGGAAAATGTTCGTTTCACATTCGGGTGTTGGACAAAACGCGAATAAAAATAGAAAATTTTAAAATTTTGAATATCTCGCCTATGAATTGTTTTACGTGGAAACTATACGATTTTGAGCTATGACTCTTAAAAATTAATTGGTTCTTCGTAACGAGCTACAAAAAATGTATATTTTGGATTTGTCAAAAGTACGAAATTTAAGATTTTTAAAACATCCGATATACGTTGTGAGAGTTTCTAAAAACCAAAAATCTTAAATAACTACATTTTGAAAAAATAAAAACGTTTTGTGTTTAAAAAAAAAATATAATAGATATAATACTACAAGCCTATACAATTGGGCATTTGATAGGTTTTAGGCCTTCTTTACTGTTGTAAATGCTATTGGGCCCTTCAAAAATTAATCTATTAAACATTTTTTCTAAGTATCACATATCCCACCTACTTAAAATTGTGTCCCAACACTAAAGATTTAAGTAAAACTTTATGGAATATCAAGTATCTAAATCATATCTACTCAAGGGTAGTTTTGAAGTACTAATAATTTAGGAAGGTGATCTGAAACAAATTGTTGGTTGAGAGAGACTAACATCCAGGCGGTATTTTTGTACCTAGATTTGCTTGTTTGTATAACTTCAATAACATCTCTATAATCTCACCACATAATTATGGTTGATTTTATTATTAATATTGTAAAAATGTAAATTATTGTTAAATTTAGTAATGAATGGACTCAGTGCTGTCAACAGTAAAGAGATTTTATTTACTGTCGTCTGTTAAATATTTGAGTATGTGATTTTGTAAGTGTTGTAAATAAAATAAATATAAAAATATTTTGTCAACAATTATAAGTTATGGTGGGGAAGTCATAACTTGTAGTGCTGTGTAAAAGACTGCCTTTAATTTAATCTAAATTAACTCAGTTGAAAACAATTACATTATTAATTTGTAAAGTTATCAGCTAGGTCACTTATTAGTGATTAGTGGTTGGAAACTTTTAAATTGTTTGAATAACTAACCATTTTGTAATAATTAATACTTTTACTCCTTTTTATTGCACACTTTTATGTCTTATTAAATTTGTGTACATATATGTGTAAACTATATTATTGAATCTAGAAATTACTATAGTTATTATTTTATTTTATATCATTGACTACATATTGTAAATAAATAAAAAAAATATTTAATTAACTGGCAATTTTAACCATAACAAAGTTGAAGATATTTTAGTAAGTAGTGTATACAAATATAACTGTAATTTTATATTATATATTTTAAACAGATTATTGTTAAAATGCAGAATATTTATATATATTGTTTAACATTTTGTCAATAAATTCTTTTCATAACACATCTTTGGCATTAAAATACCAACTTTAAAATACTATAACAATCAAATAGACAAAATAGTATAACCTAAAGGCTAAAGGAATAATATAAAAACTTTTTATAGTCCTTAGTCTGAGTTGAATCAAACGATGACGAGTTCAATGTTAGTTAATATTTTTAACATAGTTTCTCCAGCTTTTATTTGCTAACTATAACAAATTAACAAATAAATAAATAAATATAAATCTTGTTTACATAATATAATGAATGCATGTAAAATATAAATGTATTTATTCAACTATCTAGAATGTAAACAACTAATATAATGAATAAAATAAACTAAAAGCAATATTAAAAATATATTTACATAGGCTGAGTGAGAAAAACTCATATCAAGCATTATATCATGAATTATACTCACAATTAACCAAACACTTAGGGGTTATAGCAAAGATTTAATATAAAATAGCAAATTACACTACAAACTAAACACTAAACTACTTTAAATCAAATAAAATTAAGATATCACATTACTTATATCAGTAATATTAAGTTATTAACACTACCTTAAATTATGAGTTGGAACAGCACTAAATTATCAGACACAGTTCAAAAATCTGAGTATAATATAATATGTTATTTTTTTAAACCTCCAAATGCAAATGCAAGTTAATAACTAATACTAAACAATATGATATCGTTAAGTTAACAATTAAAAATATGTTTTTAAAATCAACAAATTCTGGCAACCACATAAATATTTAGAATTTTTTATTCTGAAAAATGTTTCATAGGTACATTAGGTACATTTCATAGGTTTCATAGTTTACATATCAAACAAAAAAAAATTAAAATTATAATCAATATACATATTATATTTGAGATACATAATAAACTTAAATTTACCTGTTGCCATAGGTACCTACTGTATAAAATTCATTCGGATTTGAATGGAACAACTCGTACAAAATAAAAGTTTCCTCAAATGATTTAACGGTTTAAATTTAATTATACATATTAGAACAGTAGTGTTTTTCGAAAATTATGCTATTTTCTATAATTTATTTTTGATAATAATTGGCCCTAAAACATCTGCATTGTACATTTGTATAATGTAAATCCACCATACAACATAAGGAATTTTAATTTTTGGGAGTTTTTTGCTGTAATTCGGTTATAAATACACGTCGAGATTTGAAACTTGATCATAATATATTTTTTTTGGACTTACCTAGACGTGGTAAAATTTCCATAATCATCGGAAGACTTTTTTTTTAATAAGCGTTTTGAAATTAAGTTTAAACGATAATCGCAGAAAAAATTACAGCACTTCAAATTATGTATTACCGAACTACGTTCGGAATCGTCTTCCGTCAAGCAATGGTTTACCGTTGCTTACAGATGTAAATGAAATAACTTTATGTATCCCCAGTATTAGCTCTCTATTTGTTTTAGTTATAAATGTCCTCTTTTGAATAAATGACATTTGGTCAGTGGTCACCCTAAATATACATATCACATTAATTTTTAAAATGTAATTAACTGTTTTATGAGTCTTGAGTAGATGGTATGTTGGTAATTCGAATTTAAGACATTACAACAATAGTTTTCAATACATGGATTAGCAATACCGGATATTGCATTTAAATTGTGACATTCAGAAAAAAAACATTAACTTATAAAGATATCAAAAAAATTACTTTGGTATTTCAACTGAATTTATTTATTTAGACATTTTTAACTATTAACTATTTTAACTAAGCAGATAGAAATTATATTTTCAATGTTAAAGTCAATATACAGTTTCTAAAAGTTCAAGTTATAATTAGATGAAATTCCACATGCCCTGTATGATAGATCTATATACTGTAACTAACTTGTACAATTACTGTCAAACATTCCTAGTCTTTTTTCGTATTTTCCTACAATATTGATGGAATCGTCATAAAATCTTCAAGGTTCGACGTAGAATCTCTCCAAGATCATTGCAACACCAAAAAAATCCGTAACTCGAACGTACACCATACGAAAATAGCATAGTTAAATTTCTCGCCAAATTTTGTTTTTAAATTTACAATTTAGAATCACGATTTAATACAAATCTAAATTAGTAAAAAAAGTTCTACGAGCTGGGAAATGATCTTGAGACACGTTCAAAAAGATCCATGCAGGTGTTTTGTGTATTTGACTTCAATATTGAAGGATTTCTACTTAAATTTTCAAAATCGTAAACCGAAATTCTAGTTTTTTTTTTTACAAATAATGTGAGCCCAATGCTCATACATTCAACAAATTGGTAAGAGTGCAACATTTATATATCTGCAAATATGTGAGAAGAAATCACAATAATAGATAATTGTAATCTAATGTTAAATTGCCTATACAAAACTCCTTAATAAATGAATATTTAAATATAATTTAATGAATTTGTTCGCTATTTGAAATTAACTGTATTATAAAAATAATATTTTTTTTTTATGATACTATCAATTTTTTTTATTTCGACCATCTCTAGTAGTTTCTTTAAGAGCTATAAAATCTAATAATTCTTCTTTCACTTCCATATTCATCGTCATATAACGTACAAAAATATCTAACTGTGGTTTATCCTGAATGTCAATAGGTTCGTCTAACGCTAAACTTAATGCAGAAGAATTAGCAATTTAATTTTGTAAATTAGAGAAAATATCTGAACTTATCATTGAAATACGTCTTTCCATAGTATGTCTACTATTTGAAATATTTTCAACCATATTTATTAATTTTTTATCTTCCGGTTTTAAAATGGAAATAACATTTAAAATGTTTTTTGTTAAATATACCCCATTGGTGTATAGGCGCTTTGCTCAAGCAATATATAACGCCATACAAAAACTCGTTTCAGTAGTTATATCAGTTTCTTTAGAAAATACCGACATAATATTGGTTTGTTTATTTAATTTTAATTTTATTGTGCTTAATTTATTTTTTCTCAAATCAGAACCAGTAGAAAATTCGTTACTAAACGAACTGTGATTTGTTTCATAGTGGCGTTTTAAGTTACTAACCTTAAATTGTGATAGTTGGGATTGACAAATGAGATGAAATGGTTTACTGTTTCATTCTATGAAAAAGAACTCTTCTTCTAATTTACAAAATTAAATTGCTAATTGTTCTGCATTAAGTTTAGAGTTAGATGAATCCACTGACATTCAAGATAAACCATAGTTAGCCTTTTTAGAAAATTCCTTTGTAATTAATGTTATTGAAAATGGATGTCCAAAATTAAAATCGATTCCAATGGATACAGCAGCTTTATAAATTGAACTCTTAGAATTATTGGAAGATGAAGGATTGAAGCAGTTCAAATATAGTTGTCATTCTTTGTTGGAATTTCGGAAACAAGTGCCTGTTATTAAATATCTAAAAATTACTCTTTGCGCTCAAAAGTTAATATCGATTTTCGGAATAACATATTCTTGCGAGTCTTTATACTCAACCATGAAAATTATTAAATCTAAACATCGATCAACATTAACGGATAATCATTTAACGGAATTGTTAAGGACTGCGTTAACAACATACAGTCCTGATTTTAAAAAACTTACAAGCAAAATAAACACGTAAAAATAAGAAAATAATCAATAATGACAAATTATAACAAGTACTTTTTATTTTTACTAATTTTCTTCTATACACTGTAATTTAATAAAATATTATACTTTTTCAAATATATAAATTCATATTAAAAAATATTTTTTGTAAAAATGTTACGATATAATGCGAGCCGCAAAAGTCTATAACGCGATTTATTATGATAGATATTGTTTTCTTACTTCTTACTTTTAAGTTTGATTATAAGTCAATTCACTCTAATATATTTCAAGCAAGTTAGAAGTTGCTATTAACATAAAATTGGTCTAATGCTGAAATCAAACTGCATATATAAGTAAGACAAAGATAATATTTGTGGAATTCTCTTACCTCTGAATAAACCTTAAAGTCGATAATATAAGCTCACATGTTACCTAGGCGGCTAAGCAAAACAAGACAAATGTCATGAATCAACAATTTATAGTGTACCTATTTAAATATTTTTACAAATAAAATATTACAATAACTAAAGATATTAAAATAATTTTAACTTACTTATTTTCATTATAATACTATTAATAAAACCAGTATTTCTAAAAAAAAACTATTCTGCGGTACAGGTATGACTTATGGTCAAAGTTTTAAAGAACGACATACGTTGTACGAACAATAAAAGGCGCAAGATTAAAACGAATTTAACGAACGAACAATTTAAATGACAAACAATTTAACAATAGTGCATTGGTGCGTATAAAGAGGTGAACGAAATATTCGAAAAGCACTTGAGTGCTGTCGAGTTCGAGAGTAGTTGAGCGAGTTCGACTATTCCAAGACTTGTATTTCATAAATCGTAATGGTGGGAGTTGGTCGGGTGATAGAAAACTGGGGAGAACGTCTGGAAAAACTTGTTACAAAACACAATAGTAATTTATAAAAAAAATTTGGGAGTTATTAAATACATAATTGATTTTGTGTTTCAAAGATGTGTATTTATATGAATACTAAAATTTAGATTGAACAATTTGAAGTTTTTAATGTTGGCTAAGTTGGTTTATCTTTTCTTTTTTTCTTCCATTGGTTTTCGGGATAAGTACCTCATTTCGAAATTTAGTATGAACTGAACTCTTCATTTATCATGAACTGAGTATTTGATTTCCAATATTATGTACAAATTATTGCCTACCTGGATAGATACTAGGAGCAGTGAGCTTGTATTAACCAGTATTTATTACTAATTATTATTTTTCATAATATAATATTATTGAATAATAATAATACCAAGGAAGAATGATCAACCTAGAATATTACCCATTAAATTAGTTTATAATTCATATATTTAATTTTGTTATTCACTAAATACAGACAATTTTAACATAATTTTTTTAATGTATTCTTTTTTTTTTTTTATTAAAATCATTCCTTAGGTATATTTATTTATTTAATGTAAATAATAATTTATATGTGAAAAGTAAAGTGTTAACAATAGACAAATTTAAATTTATTTGTAAATATCACTTCAAAATAAGTTTTAAACAATTAAATGTAAATTGATGATAATCAACTTTTATTGAAATTTCAATTATCTTCTAAATTCTATATCAAAACTATAAAACATGGATTTTAAATAAAACTTTATATTTTGTACAACTGTGAAACTAATTTTGTTTTAATTCCTTCCATAAATAATTGGAGCAAGTGAATTTTATAACTCTTCAAAGGACACATTAATTTGATATGGTGTTATTTTAAAAAACCTCATAAATTCATATTTCTCGTTAACCTGTTGACGAGATATTCCACATTTCAATTTAGGTAAGGGAAGAGTAGTAGAACAGTTGCGTTCTACATCATCTTGGAACATCCATAACTCTCGCCTTGCCGACAAATAACTAGTTCCTAACCATGCCGCTAATTGAATGTGTTAATAGAGCTTTAATTTGATTTTTTTTTTTTAATTTATTATAATTATATCGTTTTTTGAAATAATGTTTTTATACAGAAATGCCTTACTAAACCTAAGCTTAAAGTTGTGTATAATTATTAATAATAATAATAACATATTTATTTAGAAAATCACAAACAGTACATAAATATATATAAAATAATAACAATGAAAGATTTGCAACTCCTCATTAAGCATAGCTTGTGTCGGGGAATTAAAAATTGAGTTGCGATATATCTAAATAGATTAAATAGATTAAATTAAATATATATATATATATATAAGTAAAATCTAAATTATTTAAGAATGATTTAAATGAATTTACATTATTAAAATGTTTAAATTAATATTTTGAATTCTACACAGTTAAACTGAAAAAGAGCTTTTTACACAAAATTGTTTATAGAAGATAGGTACACAAATATTTATACTTTCTTTGTAACGAGTACTATAGTTATGAGAGGCATGATTAAAATTATTATTGAATGTATAAAAAGTAATTAGAAAATTCTTATAATATACATTTTTAATACAAAGTAAATTCAATAGATCATAAACAAAAATATTACTTGTAAACATAGGTGTCTTAAAAATAAATTTTATTACATGTGTTAAAGTAGAATTTAAAGAAATAATATGAGAATTATATGCTTAACCCTAAAAAAAACAATACCATAATTTATAACTGATATAACCAAAAATAGAAACAATTCGTTTAATAGTAATATTAAATATATTACACACATCATGAAAAATATAAAAAAAATTAGGAACAATATTTGTCAGATTATCAATATGGCAATTCCATTTTAACTTACTGTCTAAAATGAGGCCTAAATACTTAATACAATTAGAATTTTTTTAAATTTCACAATTACTTTGACAATTAAAAGGAAACACACAAATTTTCAAATCAGGGTTGATCAACTCGGAATTAATATTAAAGTAAATATATTTTGATTTAAGTAAGTTTATTTCCAAAAAATGATTATCAAACCAATCCTTAATTTCTTTTACAACATTATTAGCGTTTATAAATTTACATTCTAACCGTGAAAATCGCGGTATTATTAAAACACCAGATTATTTCAGAATTAATATTTAAATTAAGTAAACCATTCATATAAATTAAAAGAAAAAGAGATCCAATGACAGTACCTTGAGGAATACTGTGTGAAATAATTAGAGGACAGCTTAAAAAATTATTTATTTTTTCTACCTGTGTTCTATTTATTAAATAAGATTCTAATAATTCATACATTTTTCCTCTTAAACCAATATGATGTAGTTTTTTTAGCAATAATTTATGATTATAGATCTGTGAATTTAGGGTAAGTTGATATGCTTAAAATATTTGAGAAGTGTAAATAACCTGGGTATATTAAATAAAGGTATAACTAATTACAAGAAAAAATTATTTATTGTACAATTTAATAATACACAATATTAAAATAGATTTATTACCTACAAAAATGTATTAATTTATAAGTGTTCAAATTGTATTCCATTTTGACTGAAACATAAATTCAGTCAAAAACACTGTACTGGATAAACCAATATTTTTTTACTTTAGATTTAATCTATCATATATGTTTAGAACCTTTGACATATAATATACAAAAAAATATATTTAAACCATTGCAATTATCACCAAATGGTCTTCAAAAATATATAAGTAAGTATATATAAGTATATTGATTCAAATGAGCTTAGTTCATCTACCTAATGTTAGAAGTTATTGGTCTTCAAACTTGGAAAACCAATTAATTATAGGTACAATGTTATAAATACATTTGAAAAAACTTGCTCTGAAGTATAGATTGTAGTGACTGTTGTTACCTTTTCTGAAAGGTAACTATCGTATTTCCAAGTTGTTTTCGATATAATCGGGAAAAGCCTGAATGAAAAATATACAAATAAAACGGCAAATATTATTGCGGCGTTTTTGTTATTTTTATTATGTTAACACGACATTTTCTACCAGAAAGATTACTCCAATCGAAAAATGACAAGGGATCGATTTTTTTTCTTTCAACACATACGAGTAGCTACTGAGATTTCAGGATTGCCGGTCCCGGATTGATATTACGCGCAAACTTAAGTGCCCGCCGTACCAAACCACCCCACGAGCAGTTACCCACATCCTTTTCTGGCATACGAGTAACTAATGTTTATTTTTATAACTCTAGTATTTTTCATAATAATTGTGAAAAATCAAAACAAATGAAATATCCGACTTTTTTTAAATTAGGGCACAACAAATTTCATTATTTTAAATGCTTACGGCTCATGTTTTCTACCAGAAATATTGTTCTAATAAAAAAACATCAAGAGATATTTTTTGATCAATTTTTAATCTTGATGGTGACTAGAAAAGTAATTTTTTGATTTTCTTTACAGTTTTGTTTTAATAACTGAGCAAAACTAAAAATACGTAAAAAGAGCGGGGAAATTTACAAAAATAATTTTTTTATTATTTTAAATTTTGATTTTGTAAACAATTGCAATACTCCTAACTTACAAAAGTGCCTCCCCTCCCATTGAACGAAGTATATCCCTCTTTTTAAATATATTATTAATTATATCTGTTTAAGATATCCATATTTTTTTTGTCACTGTTATGTGAATATTATGATAAACGTTTAGGATAGAATATTACATATTATATATATTATTATTATGGTGTGCTCTTCAATATACTATATTACATTTTATGGACACAGTGATGTAGCCAGGATTATGCAATGGGGGGGGGGGTGAAGTATGAGTTATACTATTAGCTTTTTACAGTTTTAAATTCTGGGTGGAGCGAGGAATGCATTGATTTTATAATGATGTTTATTTTTATTTTCTTTATAGATACCTTATCTACCAGCAATTTTGTTCCACAATACAATAATAACAAATTTTACTAAAAGAAAATCCGACTGGGGAGGTAATTGAAGGAGGTAATTTTTTGAATTCCCCAGGAGTTTTCCAAATAAATTTGGAATATAAATTTGAAAACCCGAGAAAAAAACAGAAATAACGGGAAAATAGGTACAATATTAAACAAATATTATCAAAGAAAATATATAATACCTATTTAATTATTTTACTATAATATGGCAAATAATATATTGTTGACAAAGCATTTCATAAGAAATGGTTTATCGTTGCTTACAGATATACATTAAATCCCTGTCTGTATCCTGCCTTCCCAATTTCCCACCTACACCAGTGGCTGCACCCGTTTCCATTATATTACCTTTTTTTCTGGTCTGGTATTAATAAAAAAAAATAAATCCATTCGACAAAATGTTTAAATATCATTCCAGTGAGAAATATTTTGAAATATTGACGACAATTTCATCTTTCGATGGAGAATATATTAATTTTTTGGTCATGTAGTTGTCTCAGAGCAATAGTATTGATAGCCAGGACGACTTGCAAACAAAGGTGTACCTATATTGTGTAAACAGATTTTGAGTAATTTTATACTTGTTTGAATATATTGGTTTTTAGATCTCTCTATAATTAAAATTACAAAAACATTCTATGAAAAATTACCTAAAAAAAACTACCTTCCCAATTTCTCACCCATAACAGTGGCTGCACTCGTCCTCAATATCTTAGGACGATTTTTATTTTTATGGTTTTTGCTTATTGCTTAGGTATACTCTTATTGAGACATTCAAGAACCAGGTTAAGTGGTGTAAATAGAAAAAAAAAATTAATCAATTGTTAGATATACATACATATATTACAATAAGAAGTTCATAAAATATTTTACGTGTTTATAATTGTAAAAATTGTATACAATTGTATAATGAAAATAATTTACAATAGACGTATTTTTCTTGATTTACTGCTAATTGATTCAAAACGTCTTCCAGCTATATTATTATTTCACAGAAAACATTCACATTTATGAATATAAACACATGAATTTAATATCGAATATCGTGTTTAATATTGTAATCAATCGTTACTTGTTAGAATAGTCATAAACCACAACTAAAAAATTGTGGTGCAAACCAAAATTCAGGGTTGTTAAAATTTTTTAGAATTTTTTGAAATTTTTTGTTCAAATAATTTACTAATAATAACGTACTCAGGATGAAGATAAATGATAATTTACTCTATCCATTATTATGCATTTTCTAATAGTATGACCATGAAGATTAGAAATATCTCTATTCTTCATTAGTATGACAAAATATATCGTAATTTTAAAGTAGAATAACGAAGTATACAATAATATTAATAAATCGATTAGGTTAAAACATGTGAAAAAAAGCATGAACTGTACATAACTGTACATACATGAACTGTCCGCTTTCCTTGTGCAATGATACCATACTCTTTAGGGGTCCCGCTGGCAATCGTCAATATTAGAAGATCTATATTGATCACGTGCGCAGTTAAGCGAATGAAACGAAAATGTCAACAGATCCAAAAGAGGAAATATAGAAAAACTATACGAGTATATTATTTAGATAAGAGGGAGAATATCAACAAGACGTTCTGAGAAGAAGAAAAATGATATTTTTTGAATATAACTATTTATAGGGGAGTTTTATTATATATTATATACTTGCATCCATCGGTAATGATTCAAAAAATCGACAATATTGTTATAACATATATATTTATAGAATGTGCAATAATATATTGTATGACACAAAAAAAAATATAAATATTTACAGTAAAATCCATTCTCTTTTATGTAAGAGTCGTATACATCGGTCGACAACACTGTCCAACTTATAGTAGTTGATAATTGCAGTCTCTACTGATGGCCGCGGTCTTTGGTCTTCATTGCCAGCCAGAAAGTTCTCATTTCCGCCACGTCTGGCTGTGTCCGGACTATATGTGCACGATACGCCGACTTCACACAAACAGTTTATGATATAATATATCACAAATGTATATATTATATACATTATATTTGCATACATTTGACTTTGGGGTGCAGGAGATAAATTAAAAATTAATTCTATATGCGATTAATTATTGGATGCTGCATCAAAACGAACAAATGTTCATATAATACTACCTGGCCTTACCCGTGCTAAAATAATTATACAGTTCAACAATGACCCAAGTAACCAGTTTCTATTTCTATTTCTTTTTTAACTCTTGTAGATAGATTGAACAAATATGTCTATACCTAATGTTTGAAATACCTGTATAACAATAGCTGCTTCTTGTCGGGTCATGCCCCAAAATGTATGCGGTAATGTTGGTAACTCATTACCGTCACCAACAACAAATGGCATATTGCAAACAGATGTGTTTTGACGTTCTGGGTGCAATGGGTTATTGTACCACAGGTCTTCGGCCAGTCTATTCATGAAAATTTGCCGGAATTTTCGGTTAAAACTAATAGCGTTTTGCTCATTAGCGTTTCCGAGCACCCGAGTTAAGGACATGTACAACGGCGTCTCTAGACATTCACCTACACTGATCACGTTCGAATTCGTCTTTTTGTAATTTTTGGCCTCCATTTTTTTTTAAATTGTTTAAGTAATAAAATCAATATAATTTAATATATTGTTTATTAATAATTTAACGATTCTAAGCGGAATTCAGTTGATAGTGATGCTTTTTTCAACAATATAAATGAAACTTGGTTAAATAGTAACGTTTTTGATGCTGAACTAAGTTTTAATAACTATAATTTATACAGAAATGATCGTATTTTAAGCCTTGGAAAAATTAGAGGTGGTGGTGTATTAATTGCTGTAAATAAAAATATCATCTGTGAATTATTAACTGGTTCTTCTGTTGTTGGAATCGAGCAAATATTTATAATTCTTTCAGTTAACAATATGAAAATTATTATAGGTTGCGTTTATATATCACCAGGTGCATCTTGTGATGTCTATTCTAATCATTGTGACATAGTTGAGTCTATTTATTTTAGATATCCTGAACATTATTTTGTAATAGCTGGTGATTTCAATTTAAATAGTTTCGACTGGTCTGTTGATCCAAACAGTCAAAATCATAGGTCTGCTGACATCTTATTTAATAGCTATATACATTTTTTGAATCTTAGACAATGTAATGTTATTAAAAATTGTGTCGGTCGTACACTTGATTGTTTAATGCTTAGTAAAAATGCCGAACTTACTTCTATTTATTATTCGGTTGACTCTGGTACATACAATTGATAAATATCATCCTCCTTTAGACGTAGTTATTAAATTTAAAAATTCCTCTGTGAGTAACCATAATGAGTCACCATATATTTTTAACTTTAAAAAATGTAATTTCAATGAGATCTCTCATTTTCTTTTAAATATTGATTTCAATCTAAATCTAAACAAAAATCTATCTCTTGACGTTTTGTTGATACTTTTTACGAAATTATTTATCACACATTTAACTTGTTTGTTCCTAAAACTAAAATTTTTTATAATTATTCCCCTGCATGGGCAAATGCTGAGATTAGAAATCTGATAATTAAAGAGAAGTGTGCCCATAAAAAATATAAACTTAGTACTTCTTTTGCCAATTATATGGAATTTTCTGAGTTTCGAAAAAAATGTAAGGAATTGAATCAAATTTGTCACGATCAATACATTTCCGATGTGGAAAATAGTTTGCAAATAAACATAAAACCTTTTTGGTACTATGTAAATTCTCTGAAAAATAATGTCCCGGACTGTATGAATTATAATAATGTGACATCAACAAATATCTCTGAAACGGTCCAGTTATTTGCTGATTATTTTTCTAGTGTTTGTGTAAACAGCTCTTTTAATTCTGATGAGGGTGTAACGTTACCTACTCATTCTTTTAACGATAATCATATTAATTTGAGCTCTTGGTCAATTTAACTTCTTTAGATCCGCATACAGTGACAGGACCCGACGGTATACCATCAGCATTTTTAAAAAATTGTAGTTCTGTACTTGTTAAACCACTGCATTTTATTTTCAACAAATCACTGAATCTGGGCTATTTTCCGGATTCTTGGAAAAAATCGTTTGTGACCCCAATTCATAAGGCAGGGGATAGACATAATATTGCTAATTACAGACCAATTTCCAAATTGTCCATTATTCCCAAAATATTTGAAGCCATAATAACTAAAAAACTTTCCATAATTGTCTCTCCTCTTATTCGCAAAAACCAACATGGGTTCAGACCTAAAATGTCAATCTCCAATAACATCTTACTTTATTAATCCAAAATACTTAAAGCCTTAAATAATCGTGTTCAGTTAGATTCAATCTATACCGACTTTCAAAAAGCTTTCGATAAGGTTAATCATCAACTACTTCTTAAAAAAATAACTACATTTGGTATTCATTGACATTTTTTTAAATTGGTTATGGTCCTATTTAAACTGTCGAACTCAAGCGGTTAAAGTATCACAAAGTATCTCTCCCTACTTTTCAGTTAGTTCTGGTGTACCTCAAGGTTCCCATTTAGGATCTCTTTTATTCATAATATTCATTAATGATTTACCCTCTATTTTTGATAACTCGGTCGATATACTGCTATTTGCTGATGACGCAAACATTTTTTCTACAATTTGTTCTCCATCAGATGCTTTAAATTTGCAAGCTAACTTGGATANGTGAATATTTTAGAATCATTAATTTTATTGCCTTATATTTATTGTACATATTTTATCGCTCCTATATTATCCTTTAAAAAAACTGTCTTCTCGCGTTTTTCGTTGTTTATGTATTATTCAAAAACAATAAAACCTACCAAAAAAATGTGTGGCATATTAAAAAAATAGACGAGGTATTTTGGCGATAGGAAGGAAGGTCATGCACGTGTGTATATATATGTTTTGTTGTAATAAATGTGTATTGTTGTTTTAACTTATATTTATTTTTGTCCTTTCCGTTAAAAGTAGGCACACCATTAACATAAGTAAATTAATAGGGACAAGGGATAACATAATTACCATCACGAAAACTCGAGAGTGGTCATACAGACATGGGATTCCTAAACGATTTCTCATTTCCCTATGCTCGCTCGTTTGTTTACCATCTCACTGCATTTATAAGCAAAACTATAGCTGGTTAATATATATATATATTTATAAATTCTCTATTTTATAAACAATTTGTCTTTCAAAAATCAAATTATTTTTTATGAATTACCACAGACAAAAAAAAAATTGTATGTTGCATTTCAATTTCTGTCTAGAAATATTTTATTACAATTTTAAAATTTAAGAGATTTATAACGGAAATAAGCAATGCAAACATAATACAACACAAAAACAACTGTAATAACAATATATAAATAAATAACTAAAATTTATTTGTATAATGACACCCAAAAGGATAAGAGTACAGATTTAAGTATATATAAACATTAAATACAAAAGTCAATATAATTATAAAGTTAACAAATTAAGTATTACAATTAAATATGATCAATTTTAATTTATTATTGTTATCAAAAATAAAAGTCAAAATCGCGAATATCGTTAACCGAACGTAAGAGGCGAGACAAACCGGACTATTTAAATAGTAATTATAACTAGACAATTTGGTACTACAAAGGGTGGGTTTATTCTAGAATAATAAGCAGGTACTTTTATAACTATTATGACTAACATCTCTGGGCAATCAATGAAACCGATAAAGGGGACAGGTGCAGCCACTGGTGTAGGTGTGAAGTTGGGAATGTAGAATACAGACAGGAATTTAATGTATTTCTGTAAGCAAAGATAAACCATTTCTTACGAAAAACGATTCTGAGAAGAGTTCAGTTGATAGTGATGCTTTGTCAATAATATATTGTATGCCATACTATAGTAAAATAATTAAATAGGCTCTATATATTTTCTTTAATAATATTTATTTTATGTTGTACTCAATGCTTTTTCCCGGTTTTTCACATTTGCTGGGAAAACTCTTGAAAAAATCGAAAAATTGTCTCCATAAAGTAACTCCCCAGTAAGATTTCCTATTAGTAATGGTGCTACACTTAGAAATCCGAGTAAATCATTTGGTAGAAAAGTTGTTTACACATAAAAAAAAAAAAAAAGAAATAAATAAACATCTATGTAAAACCATAAGCTTCTTCGCTCTACTCTATCTAAAATCAGGGGTCTTGAAAAATAATATGTATTTAAAAGATATCTCAATTAATAGATACCTATTTTTTGACGACATTTTGTTGAAATTATATCTGTATCGTGGAAAAGGGGCCCAGGTGGTCTGGACCCCCCTCATTAATCTTCTACTAATAAAAATTAATTTCTTTATTTTCATCTTCTAATAGAAAAATTAGAATGCTGTAGTTATTAATAATAACAGTCTCAATGTAAAATTATTGTAAACTTCCAAGTATAAAAATATAATACAAAAATATTTAAATAATAGTAGTATAAAAAAATATAACTCGCATGTGTTCTAGAACAAATTAGCAGTTATCATTTGTGACATGTCATTTTAATTCCAGAGTTGTCTGACTGGAATAAAAATGTTCTTGATTATAATGTGTCATTTATAAATTAATGTAATTAAACTAATTATAGGTACTTAAGTACCTTAGCTACCTTACCTACATATGCTCTATTCAAGAGAATAAGATTGAACCACTAGTACGAGGAAAATGTACCACATACCATTCTACACTAGACCACTTAAGGGTTTGCCTGTGTGAAATCGATTCAATCTTATTTTGAGTAGAGTATAGTAAAAATACTAGATAATTATTAAAAGATAAATAGATTAATAGAATAATAATATTAATATCTAGTCTTTAAAGAAGAAGTCTATAATTTTAGATTTAAGACTATTGTTACTTACTATTTTTTAATTTCTTTCATTAAAAATTATATTTTTAATAATGTAGAAATTTTTAAATTATTAGATAGATAGTGGAAAAGATTTTACTATAAATAGGTAATAAATAATAATAATAATATATTCCTTTATTTGCTTAGATACAATTTTATTTGTTTTAAAATATTTATTTTACTGTCAATTGATTTCAATAAATGTTACTTTATTATTTATAAATTATTCTGATAGAAATATAGTATGTTGTTTAAAATTGTTTAATCTTTAAAACAAATATTTTAAGTATCTTCTCTGTTACTTGTTTTATACAAACAAAATTATATGTTTTATTTTAGTTAAATTTGAATCAAAATCATATAGTCATACATCACACCATATGTTACTCCATGGATGTTCTGAACCTGTCTGATAAACAAAATCTTTTAAACTTTTTTCAAAAAACTTTTGATTTAACAATTTGTATTTTAATTTTCATCTTAAGGAATTATGCAAAAATGGATTCATCAATTATTGATCAAAATTCTTACATGCATTCCAATCCATGCAAATCTAGATCAAATATTAGTATACAATATTTAGATTTAAATTTATATAGGCTAAATCAAATAAGTATAGACAGTTTTTTTTAACCCCAAATCATTGAATTGGTAATCCAATTATAGTGTTTTAAAGTAGGGACTACTTAGTATATTTTGTATGTTATTTCAAAACAATTGGTATCT